TAGTAGAGTGCATGAAATATAGTAGCGTCTTGCAAATGGTACTACTTTGTACTTCTGGTGCTTTGAATATAATTATTTTCTCTAAAAAAAGGAAATGATGTTGTAATGAAAATTTCTTGTGATAAAATATTGAAATGATATTTTTGTGTGTTTTAGTACTATAATGTAGAGTTGCGTAACTTATGTACCTATACTTTCTATCTATTACTTCATTTATGCATAGTGATTACAATATCCATCTTCCAGTTTCAAGCTTTTGACTTCCGCACTACAACGAGAAATGAGCCTTTCCTGCAGCTTTTCCATTGCCTTTACGCATATCCTTTAACTGTTAGTTTGAGTAGGAAGAGGAATCTATTCATACGGGTTGAATTAAGGAAGGATGACACCGATATCCGTAGACAGCCCTTGGAGGTAAATTGTGTTGATAATTATTTATTGTGAAAAGGCTCTGTGTCTCCTTGCCTTATCTTACTTGTTACATGATGGCTGATAATTTGACAAGGCTATGTATCCAAGAGAATCGGGTTCATCACTTCTGAAGTGGGCTCACACACAAGTAGCTGTGGGAGCTAGGGTGGCCTGTTACCATGATGAGATTAAGATTTCTCTCCCTGCCATCTGGACACCATTGCATCATCTCCTGTTCACTTTCTTCCATGTTGATCTTCAGACAAAACTAGAAGCTCCAAAACCAGTATGTTGAAGCACCTGTTTTTGTTGTATAACAATTTCTTCTTATCTTATTTCTAGGGAGATCTTATATCTTCTTCATTGAATATTCAGGTAGTTATTGGATATGCATCGCTTCCATTATCTACACATGCTCAGTAAGTATATGCTATTTGATTTTCTTATCTACACATGCTTGCATTTGCTCCTAGAACTTGAAAGTTCTGCTATTACTTTATCCTCATTCTTTATAATCTCCTTCATATTTTCTTTTCCTTCGTATTACGTTTTTCATTGTTCCAGAAAGTCATTCTGGTCATTGCGAACTTCTTGAAGATGGTTAAAAAGGGATTAGATAGAGAGTCAAAGACAACCTGGTGAGACACCACCAGATAGCTCTCTTCTTAACCCTCTTTATTCCTAGCAATACTAAAACATTTGGCAACTGAACCATAAGAGACTGTCCCACCGAAAAAATTCCACCAAACTTGCTAAATTCCCAGACCTCACTTTAAATTGAATACAGCGTAGAAATTCTTCCAATCAGCTCTAATCCACTTCCATAAACGTAATCCAAGGAACTCCCTCGTCTAGTACCCACAAATTCCTGATGGAGAACATTCATGCAGATGGACTAATTGTTTCACTAGCTACCTGTAACTAAGAATCTTCTAGGAAATAATAGAGACTAATCTCTAAATGTTTTACCAATGGTGAAGCACTTTGATAGACCAAATTGAGGGACTCCCTCCTGTCTTGTTATGCGGATGGTTTAGTTGTTATACTAGTTGTCAATACCTAGAAATCTTTTTGGGAATAATAGAGACTAATCTCTTAATATTTTGTTAATGTTGAACTAATAACAATAAATATACTATTGGTACATGATGGCAACCAAATCCCTTTGCATAGTGGATGAAAAATTTCCCCTAAAGAAGCATGGGTTTTAGCCCAAAGAAAAGCTCATCTTTCCCTTATATTATCATATGACCAAGATCTTTACTTAAGAAATAATCAAGTATTCTCTTTCTTTCTTAATACAATCTTTTTTTTTTTTTTGAGAAGTAATATAAT